GAAGATATAAAAATATACATAAATATAAAAAACAAGAACAGACTTAATACAAAAATAAATAACCGTAATCATAAAATCTATAAAACTTTACATGTTTCGACTCGTGGATTGAGTCTTCTTCAGAAGTAACAGAATAATGCAGATAAATCATTGATGAAATAAAGATGCATCCGCACATGCACATTAATGATTATTTTTGTTGCGAATGTTAACATAATATTGTTTGAATGAAGACATTGTGAAGGCAGCTCACAGATAAAACGCATTATATGTTTGCGTTTATACATGTGTAGCTGAAAAAATCTGAAGATCTAAAATGGTCTTTTTACTTAAGACTCGGTCTCGACATCTCGGTATTAACTGGTATCGTCGCGAACTTAGTAGCTGCACGAACATACTGTATACACAGTGATATTTTAAGCGGCTTGTTTTATATTTATTTTTATGCATATAGGCGTTGCGACCCTACCGTCACTTGATATTATATATTAGTAACATTTTGACGCTCACATTTATATATATTTATATATATTTTAGGTTTCTCTAGACGAAGCGACTGATACCTGGGGAATAAAAGTGGAACGAGTCGAAATGTAAGTCTATAAATTGTCTATTTTATAATAGTAATGATATATTTAATGAAATATAATTTTTTTAATATGACGATCGTGACGTAGAGTGTAGCTCGGCTGCTTTCTATCCCGATTCAGGGTTCAAATTCAACCACAACTCAAAAATTTGATTTGATTTCCACCTCTCGGAAGACAATGGCAAGCTACCGAGAGTATATATAATATTCGCCACTTTTCAGATTCGGTGTTAAAAAACTATAGGTTTCATGTATCGATGTATTAGTAGATATACGCATCGATAGGTTTGGAGTTGGACATTAGGCTAACAACCTAATTTCGGAAAAAATCTTTGTTTGAAACCTCATCCTCAGAAGAGGCCTGACTCTGATTTAGATTGTAGTGCCATAAATGGATAACTTTTTTTTTACACTCAAGAAAAAGTAACAATTTCTCTTGATGATAATCATTTTGGGTTCTAAATTGTTTTTTCATGTCACAATAAAAAAAGATTTTATGGTAAATATTCAGAATAATGGAAGCAACTCCGATCTTCTTGACCTTGATATACATTGTCAAGGTCATAACCCTGAGTAACCTCCAACAAGTTTCAGCCTTTGCTCGTCCTTCGTTAAAAAGTTATTAACAAAAATTTTTTTTAATAACGTCCCAGATAGCAAAATGTTAGCAGTATGCCAGCAGTATGCCAGCAAACTTGATCATGACGTGCAGCAGATATCAAGCTGCTGCTTCCTCATTAAGCTTAGTTTCTAACAGCTTATATCCTGCCAACTTAACACAACGATAGAAATAAACAACAAAAATCAATCATTATTTGCTATCACATCGTGACAGCGAAAACGCGGTAAAAATACAACATGATCTGACATAATCAAGTACTGACAGCCTGCCGTCACGGCGTGACGGCAGACTGTGCTCGATTTTTGCCGCCTTTTTGCTGTCATAATATGACGATAAGTGTGCCAGATTTTTAACAACATTTTGCTGATTTAACATGTAGTCATGTTTTATATCAAGTTTTCATCTATTTTTTGTTAATTTATTTTACCAGCATGTAATGCTCGAATTCTACTTGCTTTATTTCGGTAACGTTTGATTTTACAGAATTTTTGCTAGTGTATTATGACGCAGGTCTGCTCTATTTTTGCTATATTTCTGTTAGCGCTATATACTGAAATGGTAAACCATGTTCGACTGTTGCTCGATTTTTGCCATTATAATAATGTAGCATAAATTAGCAATGCGTGCTTTTGGCAGGTTTGGCTATCTGGGAAGGTTCATTATTAAAAACAAAAATCTATTAATATGTATATCACAACATTTTGTTTTGACGTTTTCGACTCGCTTTTTTATGAGGAATACGTATGTGCTATACTTCTGTGGATTGTCTGGATTATCTTGCATAATTATACATGTATATTAACAATGTATTCTTATACAATATATCGCATACAATGTTTTCTTTTTTCAACAATTCCAAGTGTAATCTTTTTATAAACTCTCTTACTTTCCAAAATCAAAAAATATGGATCCGAGTTTTCTTTTTTCTTCAGACTTGATTTTTTGTAAAAAACAATGTGAACTATCCATATACAGCGTGTTTCTTAAATAATGCCCACTAATTATATAGAGTTATTTTTGATGAAAAACTGAATCGAAAAGTTCTCTATCATTTTGCAATTTTCGCAATATTTTTTTAGTATCTGATAAACAGAATATTTGAAATTGATGCATAAGACAACTTTAAGATATCTTTTAAGAGTTCTTTTAGAAACATCTTTAAAATATTTCATAAAAAACACTGAAAAATATCTTAAAATTGTCGTATGCATTGATTTTATCCATTTATTTAGTACTCTTTAGAAATTAATATTCTGTTAAATTATTACGAAAATTGCAAAATGGTAGAAGACTTTTTGACTCAGTTTTTTTTTATCAGAAATAGCCCTATGATTAGTGGACGTTTAAAAAACACCCAGTATATGTATAATATAATCATATGTATACGTTAATATTTTTATATATGTATATTTATACATGTTCTTATAAAAATTATTTATCGATAGAGTAGATAAACATTTTGCAAAAGTAGATTTGATATTATTTTATATGTTTATATATGTATATATATAGTATCTGATATAAGTGTAATGTACATTATACATATATCTTATGTTTAGTATGTAGTACTTATTTTAGTAATACAGTTGAATATATGCCTGCGTATGCTTATGCGCGTGCACATGTAATGGTAATGATAATGGCAATTTTATAAAAAAATTTGCATAAAAACAATAAAAATAATAAATTCCAATTTTTTTAAATTTTACAGCAAAGATGTACGATTACCCGTTCAACTGCAACGAGCTATGGCAGCGGAAGCCGAAGCTGCACGTGAAGCACGTGCTAAAGTAAGATAATATATAATATAAAAAAACAAACTTTATTTTATTTATATCCACAATTTTATGATTATTTTAGGTGATTGCCGCAGAAGGTGAACAGAAGGCCAGCAGGGCTTTGCGGGAGGCATCGGAAGTCATCGGCGATTCACCGGCTGCTTTGCAACTCCGTTATTTGCAGGTAATATAAATATTGAGTGCCGTCTACTTGGCGCTACAAATGCTTTGAAGCGTTTTATTGCAAAATAATCAGAAAAAAAAATTTTACTAATTGATTAATGAGAGAATGCTTCAAAACATTTGTATCGTCAAGTGGACCTTAGTTAGTTCATCCAAGTGGACCATCGTTAGTTCATTTTTCCTGTACACGCGTATTCTCCTGTACTGAGAATGGAAGAGTTACTATGCTGTTACTTTTTATGATGAAAATTTGATAATGACGTTGCAATTTTTTATGACTCTAATGATAACTAACTAAACATTAGAGTTGTGCTAAAATTAGGAAAGTTACTTTGAAAAACAATTTGTCACCATTACGCGTTATTTACTGAAAAAAGTAATAATAAGTAACTTGTAACGCGTCGAGGAATTATTTTTCTTGTTGCAAGTGACGAATAAAAGTAATTATTATAATTATAAATAAAAGGTTTTATATTTTTGTTCAGTAATGAGACTAATAAATGACTTTTTTAACCGTTACAAATAACGTTTGACTTTTTCAACTCTAGTGTTACTGTAGGCTTTCAGTGGTATTGCGTCCAAGGAACGGACAATCGTTTGAATAGAACACAGAGCTTTATTATATGAATCAATACAAAGAATTAGACTAACGTAGGTCGTCAGTATAAAAACAGTATGAATTGTCAAACGCAACATGCAACGATGAAAAAACGAGAGCTTCTAAATTTTAACGTACGAACTCTAATAATTTCTTTCTTTTTTCTAGTTCTCTTTTCTTCTTTTATCACCGCAGCGCCGCGTAGGAATAACTTAATAGTTACTTATCGACTGTATTATCCCTAACAGTTACCGTCATAAAAAATGCGCAACGTCATTTCCAAATTGTTATTATAACAAAGTAACAATAAAAAGTAACAGCGTTACAAGTAACGCGTACTTCCATTATCTGCGTACATTGTGCGTGCATATAATTATCCTTGTCAATATATTATTATAATATTATTGATTGTCAATTAGATATTGTTATAATTTATATCTTTGAATCGTTTCACTATTTTGCGTTTTTCTTTTAATTTTAGACACTGAATACAATATCAGCGGAAAAGAATTCTACCATCGTGTTTCCGCTACCAATCGATATGATGACATACTTTATGAAAGCTTTACCAAGGGAATAATTATGTGAAAAAGAGAAAGAAAGAAAGCGCATGTCACGTTTCGCAGTATATAACGACCGAGAAGAAGAATAACAATTTCCCTGAAGTTTTATGAGAGATGTTTGACGATTTATTTGTACATTTGATATGTGTGCTTGCGTATTACATCCATAGGCTGTGTTCAGGAAATGCGCTATCAGTGCTAATATGGGAGTGCATTATTATTGCTGTTATGGTTTATTCTTTTTTTACTGGCAATGCAGTCATTATGACGTCACAATAGTCCACTGCCGTTCCAAAATTATTTTGGTACTGCCAGCAGCATTGTGACGTGTTTCAGAACAGCATTGCAGTAGTTGCAGTAGACTTATAGATACGATGGATATACAAACGTACTAAATCAAACTATCAATACGTTAAATTAGAGGTTTCGAACAAAAGCAGTAGCGATAGTTCTTTCAAAGAACTTATTTGTTTCTAGATCTAATAACTACTTTTTGCGCTTCTTAATTATTTGACGCTGTATTGCACTATGTCTAATCTCGAAAGCTACAATAATTGCAATGAAAATATGGCATTTATGACGTCATTAATAGAAATAGATGCTCTCACAGCACACTGCGTGATAATATAATGTTCCAGTACTACCAGTATTAGCAATATACATCGGAACATCTCTAATGCAAATTTTTTGAAATTATAATGAATAATGATGAAATATTACTGAAATTGTAATGAACAGTGATAAAATATTATTAAATTTCATATTGAAATCTACTATATGAATTGACCAATTTTCAGTATAATTTCATTTATATTTTATTATAATTCGTTAATATTTTATAAATAATTCAATATAAAATGTTGTTATATTTTGTTTCACGTTAGTATAAAAATACAATGCATGTACTAAAATACATGTGAAAGCCACGTACAAATGTAAATATGACTGCAGATAATCTGAACTTCGGTTATATAAACCTGCTCATAGAGAACACAACTATATTTTATAGGAACCGGTATCATGCAAGAACCGATATCATCTAGCGGTAGTCGTAAAAAGATGAATTCAACGCTTTTCGTTACAATGATAACTGATTTTCTTATTTTTCGGCAGATTTTAGCATTTTAAAAAAATTTATTTTATTATTTTAAAATTCTACTGTTTCATTAATAAATCTAAAAAACATTATATGTATCATTTCGTTTCAATGTCATTACCTTTCAAATATTTTCATTAATTGTTCTTAAAATTCACGTTTCAAAGTATAATAAACTATAAAAATATTGTTTGTCATTACTTTTCTTCATGCATTTTTTTGAATTCATGAAATTTAGGATTCATGATATTCTAATATAATAATAAATATAATAGTGTTTAATTTCTCTAAATAATATTATATAAATGTTAAATATATTTGTATTTTTTATTATTTTTCATTACTCTATTAATTTTGGTATATTGATTTCAGTATGATTCAGTATTCAATTTCTCCAAATAAATCAGTATAACTATTAAACATATTATACTTGCATTACTTTCAATATTTTTCATTGATTTTCATTCATTGTTTTTTTTTAACTCATAGTTTTTTTTAAATCCATAGTATGTATTTTAATATTAAAAGTATTATTTATTACAATAAAATACCAGACAACTTGTTTGTATGAAATTCATAATATGTATTATTATGTATTCAATATTATTTATACTGAAATATTTTCAATAATATTTGAGTTATTTTAATTTCTCATTTCAACGATTTTATAGTTTATTTAGTGATTTCGGCGATTTATTTCCACCAGAAATAACCTATGTTCATCATTCTATTTTTATCGTTAGATGTAAAACAATAAAAGAAAGATGCGATTTTACTATATTAGCACGTTTTCCGAACGCAGCCATTCTATATAAACTAGATAAACGGAGCATTGCCTCCTTCTGTCTACAAAAAAAATGATGCCATGAAATTGTGCGATAGAAATGGGCGCATTCAGTGGACTCAACACACGTTGCCATATCGTCCTTCTGTCTCATCAATATTGGAGACGAGAGCCATAAGTAAAGAAGTGGACTCAACAGTTGAGCAAGCGCTCGCTGTTATTGGCTGTGTTCAGCAGACTCAACTGTTGAATCTATTGAACGCAATCAATGTATTACCATCGACATAGTTATAGAGTGGACTGACAATGAGTGTCACTTTAGATGGCGCCTACACTAAAGTGAGTGATATAGTTTGCACAATTAAAATGCTTTCCTTGTCAATCTTAATTGTTTTGACAATGCGTGTTGCTTATTTCTTGATTATTTTTACGTTTACGATTAGATGGAATTGCCGTTATAAAATATAATATATGTATACATATATACACACACACACACAGGGTGCTCCCGGCCATCGAACTGCCTCTCGTGAGCAGATATAGAGTGGACCGAACTGAGTTGAAAAGTCCTTTACCATTTTTCAATTTTCATAATTTTAAGAGATATTAATTTCTAAAGAGTACTGAATAAGCACGTATCCACTCAGTATACCGCAAAGTATACGTCCATCGGTCAATATCGGTTGTTGCGCAAGGAATAAAGGATTACGTTACCAGGCAATCTCCGCACGACAGCAACCCCAAGCGACTGGTAGTCCGCGCAGATATATACGTGATCTTTAACAATTAATATTGCATTTTCTAAAGTACTGCGAAAATTGAAAGTGGTATAGGATTTTTCAACTTGTCAGTTCACAGAGAGAAAATTATTTTACAAAATAGTTTATACTTTAATTATTCTCTAGCACATATTGATATGAAAATTAAATATCTCGTTTTTATTTTTTAATAACTTTATTTTTAATTTAATTTTTTAATAATCATAATTTAATACTTTTATAAATAAAATAAAATGAAATGAATCAATTGGTGTAAAAAAAATATAGTTGTGTATTTAAAAAATTATTCATTTTGTCCACTTATTTTTTCAAAGCAACTATGTATTTTCTTTATATCAATTAATTAATCTTGATTACGCATTTGAGGCTTTCACGGGTATTATCTTCAATCATACCAGAAGATGTGCGGGTTATCGCCGTATATTATAGACTAGAGTATCATATACAGTATCAGTGCAGCCCATGGTGGAGTATACTTCCACCATGATGCAGCCGTGTCGTTCTTCATTCTTAATGCCGACGTTTCGCGTGAACCATGCCTTTCACTTCGTCAGGGCGAGGAGTGCACTGGTTCACGAAACGTCGGCATTAAGAATGAAGAAAGACACGGTGATAATCCGGAAACCTTCTGGTATCATTAATTAATCTCATTATACTCTATTCAATCTCTGACAATGTGTGACATGTTGTTATCTAATTAATGCGAAAGTCAAAAGTGTGTTACACCACAAAACAGAGCCAAAACTGAAAAGGTAGTTGTCCGCAAAACTTTAAACCGAAATAATTGTATAATTTTGTTATTATATCTATGAAATATCTACTTTATCGTACAAAAATTATGCATATCTCTTCGTTCTCTAATGTAGATAATTTTTCTAAGTGATCACTTTTTTACAGTAGAGTTTAGTTAAACCTATTTAATTTGATATATTGTATTTATTAGTCTACGTCTGTTTACAAGATAAAAAAAAGTGGCTACTCATATGGATACACCCTGTATGTAATTAATATTGGCTATTCCTGATGTTATAGAAAGTGACATAAAATGTAATCTGTCTTATTTTGTTGATAAGTGAGTTTTCCGGTGAATAACATACGTGAGAAGAGACAAAGAGAATATCAATACGTTCATTTGTCTATGGCAGTCGCACCGTTCGCTGGTATCACTTTTTTTATAAACAGAAGGAGACAATGTTCTCTCTCCCCCCTTTCCCCCTCTCTCCTAGTATGTCTCTTATAATTCTATATATGATTACATCTTGACGAGAGTTGCCAATATTCGACCAATCTCTAACAATTTCAAATTTAACAGGTTGTAGTCGTAAAATGATAAATTGTAACGTTGCACTTCATACGTGCAATTTCATCGCTTAGGATCAACTCATCGGAGAATTCTATATGACATAGACTGAAACACATATTTTTGGAAAATCTTACAGGATTATTTTGTACGTTTACATGCTATAAGAAGAAATAGTATAGCAAAATTTATGGCATGTATATACATAGATTGTAATTGAACGACGTCAATGTTAGCATTTTATTCAGTATATACATTTTCGGTACGGCAATAACTTCACTTGCGTCAAGCATACATTTAAAATTAAAATTCATATAGTGAAAAATATTACAAAAATTATTAATTGAAAATTAATTAATCCGTTCATTACAAATTTCGCACTGCCATTGATTCCTGCAGACTTGTATAAAATACGATGTTATTGTATTAATAATCTATCGGTCTGTATAAACGAAATCTATTTAGTACGCAATAACACTAGTTTACAGTAAAAAATTACTTTGAACCAGACTAGGTCTATTTTTATATTATTCTTCTTATTAGACTTTTATATGCTGAAAACAATGTCGCATGACAAAAAATTTCTTCATATCATGTTTTCAAGATAATTAAGATTTAATGTCCAAAGTAGTTTTTCTAACAATATTTGACATTCTTTTGCAAACAAGAATTAACGTCATTATGAAATTTCGATAGAAGAAATATGTAATTTATCCTCTATAAAATGTATTTTTTAAATTTCAGTATCTTAGTTTTTAGCTATGTTATGAAGTTTTAGTTATGAAGGATTTAAAAAATATAAGCTTCCTCTAAAATAGAACATTTTTCGTCTATAATGATGAAGTCATATACATACAATTTCTAGTTTGTAGCCATTGATATACATACATATAGACTGTACAACTTTTGTCTGAAATATGTTTTTTTAAATGCGTTTTTTTCGAAATACTCGAGGTGAACAGAATAGCGTTCTATGTTTAATACATCACCTTTATGTACACTATATGTACACACACGTATAGTATGTTATCCAAGTAGTACAACAGCGCCTACAAAGCACTAAAAAGCGCTTATATACGCTTTTTTTTTTAGCGATTTGTACGTGCTGTATGCTATACTTGATCGCATTATATTCTACAAATATATATATATTATATATTCTTGTTTTTATTGGAATGACTTTTGATTAGAAATTCAAGATAATGTTAACTTCTTTTTCGTATAAAAAGTGTCAAATGTCGTAAAAGAACATGTTTCGCACATTAAATTTGAATTATTTGGAAATCTGACATGCTAGAGAAATTTAAATTGCAACATTTTTTTCAATATCCATAAATCTATAAAAGGCATTTTGTTTAGTTTAAAGAAATTAAAAAAATATGTGTTTTTATATGGACACTATTGTAATTATTTGAATTAAATATCAAGGAGTACTTTTTTCTATCATGTCAATTTTGTGATATGCTACAACACAGATCTATTATCACTTAATATAATAACATTAAAAACTATTTAAACCTTTCCTGTTTCGCTTACGGTACTAAATTATGTTTCGTCAGACAAAAGATTTATTTCGATAGTTACAGATTTTGGATAATAGTTAATGACACATTCTTGAAATCATTTCAAATGAAAATTATAATACTAAAAGGTATCAAGATTATAATAGTTCTTAAAGAAAGCTTTACAATTGGTCAATCAAATTATCCGAAATTCATGCATTGAGACATATAGCATAGTAGTAAAGCTGTTTTCAAACATAAA